TATATATATATATATATATATATATATATATATATATATATATATATATATATATATTGAAGAAGCCAAAATTTAAGGTTTTGCGCAAAAATATTTTTGCGCAAAACCTTAAATTTTGGCTTCTTCAATATATATATATATATATATATATATATATATATATATATATATATATATATATATATATATATATATATATATATATATATATATATTGAAGAAGCCAAAATTTAAGGTTTTGCGCAAAAATATATATATATTAGGGATGGCAGTTTGTAACCGGTTAACGATTACTCGGTCGGAACGATGGCAATCGGTTGGCAAATCTGTAATCGGTTAGTCGAAAGAAATGTATATGTTTAAACTTCCTTAGAAATCAGTTTTCAAGGTATAAAATCTCTGAATTTATTTCAGCCGACTAGGAGGTAATTAATTAATTTAGTCTCTCAAATTGAGGTCTTTGGTGGGAGTTGGTCAGTTTGTGAAGTGTTAATTGCTTTTTTAAACACTTTGTCGTTAAACTACATATCCTGTATCTCTTTTATGATATTAATTAATTAAAATAACTTTTGAGTACTGTGAACTGATAACAATGTAACTTACCCGTCTATCTTCTGGAGTTGTCTGCCAAGTTATACTTTTAAACAAACATTGCAAATTAAGTGTCAGTTCGGTCTCATTTTCTGTTTATGGTATTAATGCAAAATGATCTTGCGTAAAATCATCAAATAATCATCTTAAATATCTGATGGATATTTCATGGTTTTCTTATTTTTTACTATCGAAATGTGTGTGTGTGTGTGTTCTACAAAGCTCTTTCTTTCCTCTGCACGAAACTGTTTGCAGCAGTGAAGGAGAAACGTACAACATATCTGAGAAGTGGTGTTAATCAAATGTGGATACTTAAAAACGCAGCAGAATTTTTGAAATTTTTTTGTTAAAAACAATGCATCAAAACGTATTACTTTTCAACACCGTGTACAACACAATATGAACATAACGAACAATAACCAAGCTCAAAATTTTTTTGGAACTGTACAAATTGGGAACAAAGCAAACACAAACCTCTAAAAACGTTGGGATCAGGTGCCATTGAGGAGTAAGCATCCCCTGTCAACCGGTCACACCCATCGCGTGCTCATTTTCCGTTCGAGAATTTTTCACTCATATAGAGACGTCACCATATACCGGTGAAGGGCTTCAAATTTAGACTTTTACTCGGCACTCGGGGCCATTGAACAGTGAGGGATCTTTATCGTGCCAACGCCTGCCGTGACACGGGGCCTCGGTTTTTAAGGTCTCATCCGAAGGATCCGTAACTTTCACTTCAAAGTGCCGAGTGCTTGGCGAAGGAACAGTTGCTACCCATTTTTCATCGACTTAGATCAGTCGCGGCCGTGATTCGAACGACCTTACGATCACGGAGCGAGCGCTCTACCGACTGAGCTATCGTGACGGCTACTGTCAATCAGAAACCCAACGACTTACAATAAAAAATTGCAAAATGATTCTGCAGATGACCAAATGACTAGGTATGTAAATTTAAGATGTCCGTTATTAGCTGTTTATGATGTCAAAAAGGCTGGATTTTAATTTGTCGTAGTGAAATGGTTATATAAAGTGATGAAAAGTCGTACATCTTAATGCATTTGATTTTGGTAAAATCTTAAATGTTCTAAAAGTTCCTTGGAGTTTTTAAGTATGCTAATCTGATTGACACCACTTCTCAAAAATGTTATACAGTAGTCCTGAAGTTTTTCCTTCACTGCTGCTAATATTTTGGTGAGGAGTAAAGAAAGAGACCTGGTAGAACATTTACTAAAACCCGCTATGCATCTTTGTTTGTAAGGATTTTTATGTAGTTTAGAAACCCAGTATAGGTATGATAATTCAATTTCAGTTTGAAAAACTGACATATGATTTTGAAGAATTTACTTCTTAGAAAGGGAACTATGATTATAAATTGGATTACCAAATGTAGAATTAAATCCAAGTTCCTCTAAAATACAATCAAAATAATGAGTCTTGCAAATAAAGACAATCTTGTTATCTGCTAAGTCAGCTGGGACCAGTGCGTATTGATCGTGTAAAGAGATGGGCGAACATAGCGTGCAGAAAGCCCATAGCTTCAGATATATATAAATCATGTTCAGTTTGTGAATTTTGACAATTATTATTGTCTCATTATTGAAATTCATGAAATTATGATAAACAAAACTTTTCTGAGGACAATTTTCTCGGCAAAATTTATTCTTTTATTAAAAAAAAATTAATGTGGTATTCGTGGGGTTCGAACTCTAGCAATAAAAACCCTAAGTATCATTTTCTTTCCAGACTAGCACGCTAACCACTAGACTACACAAGTCCTGATGAAGAGTGGCATTTAAATCATGTTTGTGATATGACCATTGACTTAATGGACTTCAAGTATTTCTCGAAAAGATACGAATGTTATGTCATAAAAGTATATTTCTAAGGTATAGTGGGTCATTGCTCCATATTTTTGGTAACCAAAAAATGTATATTTTTATGCAAACTTTGAGGATTAACTTTCAAAAAGGTGGAGCGAAGACCCACTCATATCGAAAAATAGTGTTATAGTATGAGAAAATGACTCTTTTTGCTCGCTTTGGTGTGTGTCTAATATTTCTCAGGCAAATAATTTCACTCTTTGAGGGATTTTTGCAAATTGTAGAGATTTTACAGAAAGTATATTTTAATGTTAGACGAAATATCAAGAAAATTTTGATATAATTGAAATTTAATTTTTCATCTTCATGTTTGTCACACTATAGGCTTATCGCTCGTCATGTTCACCCATCTCCTTTATCTAATTCTTTTTGTTTTGAAATCAATTACCCTTCTGTCTTCAGTTATTCAGAATTCTTTTTTCACTTCTGAATATTCGAAGACAAAATGATAGATGGTTTCATATTGCCCCTCAACCGTGTAATGCGAAATTTCAACATCCATCTGATACATTTAATCCATTCTGGCAAAGTGTCAAGGTCTTTTTCATGATTGGCTCATCGCCTGCCGTAATCTTCGAAAGAATCCATTCCTCTCGACTTATAGACCGGATACATAACTGCTTCTTTTATGAAATGGAACTCGGAAAGTTAATTGTGATTGGTATCTACAAAATTACTTTGTTAAAATGAAATCATTCTGATTCCATACACAAGTACTCTGACGTTGATACAAAGAAGATTCTGGAGCTCTTCATTGACAATATCTATGTAACCTCTGGAGACTAGGTCTTCCAGCAATCTCTTGGAATTTCCATAAGTACATGTAGTACTTGTATCTCTTTATTTGCAGACCTGTGACTGCATTCTTATGAAGCAGAATTTAGTACTAATTTTCATTCATTAATTTTGCATCGATATATCCTACTGAACTTGAAATAAAAGGCACCTCAGAGTCTGACACATCTGTTTGATATTTTGATGTTTTACTAGAGAAAGGAAGTGATGGAAAACTGACAACAACCGTATGATAAACGTGATCACTTCCTTTTTTGTATCGTCAACTTCCCTTTTTAACGTAATAATATATCATTATTACCTGCATATGGGGTTTTTGTATCACAGTTGATTCAATACATCAAAACATGTTCATCAAGGGATCAATTTCTAAGCGGAGGTAGGTTACTGACAAATAAGTTGATGACACAAGGGTGTCCACAATCTCGTTGAAAGATGGTCGATAGAAAGACTTTGTTTGAAAATACAACCTGTCTCAAGGTCGAATATTGACTGATGTTCTAATACAAATTGTTCAGACCATTATTTTCGTACTTTACTCCGTTTACCCGATCATGTTAAAGGGCTAACAGCGGGAGAGACTTGTTGACAGGAGATATTTACTCCTCAATGTCACGTGACCCCACCTTTGATGTTTTCAGGGCCCATGTTTGCTTTGATCTGAATTTGTAGTAATTAATTGGACAAATGAGCATGTTACCATTCCTTATTTTCACATTACATCTATAAGTGAGTAATCAAATTCTCTTGGGTCTTTGCCCTCTTGGGTTCACCATAACTATTTTATTTCTCAGAGTGCACTCCGAGTTGTTCGAGACCGACATTGTGACTGAGAAAATGAAATTTATATGCGTTATACATATAAAAAAGAATATCGGAGTAAAAAGCGAAGAAAAATATTTGACGATTCAAATAAAAATATATAAAATATATATAAAGCTTTCTATCAATTGCGATTGCTTTTGTAGAGATATACATGACTCAAGTTAATATTTTTAATAAAACTCTTTTTATAACAATTATATTTTTAAAAAATCTGGTTTATCTAAATTCTAAAATACTGAAAGGGTATGAAATAACATAGCAAAATAGTCTTAACCAACAGGAAATATATGACATTTCTTAATTTACATTTTATGGGTATTTAAGTATTTATTTCAAGAATTTTCTCATTAAAGTAGACAATGTTTATCATGTTACGGATACAGACTAAATCATAGAATCTATTGGCCTACGTTTTCCTTTTACAAATGTTTATAAAATTATGACCAATTATAAAGGTACTTTTATAGTTTTTGGAATTAAAATCATTAATAATAGTAAAAAGAGGTAAGCGAAAATAAATGTCAGAAAATTGACAAATTGTGAGAGAGTGGAAAGAACCAGAGATTCGGCTCCGCATACAAATAAGTTGTGACAAGATTAAAGATTTTATTTCTTTTCTGATTTTTGAAATATTAAAAATTCAAACTGAGCTTTTTGCTTTTTATATAAATATGAAATGACTTATATAAGGGTTAAATATTCATTACTTTATAAAATTAATAGTAAGTTAAAATGTCAAAAATCATGCAACATTTGTAAAAATTGATTACCATATTTGAATGAATAAATTTTTTAATAAGACTAATACTTGCTGAGCTGTAAAACAGTCCAGATAACATGAATAAATAATATTTCTTTCTATGCGCTTCAAAATTTGCCTGTATATTTGTACTCTTCTTTAAGAAGGACATGGATGAAACAATTACCCTTCTCCTGTACGTAGAATATTCATTTTAAGCTGGATTGGTTTTAAAAGACAGAGAATTTATATCCCTTTTTTAAAAATGGGGCGGGGATAAGATATGAATTTTATTTTCTTGTGAATATTGTTAATGATGTTTCTTTTGATCTGATATTTTATTCCATAACGTAGTTTAAAGTACATGCAGTCTCAGGTATGCTTTTGTCATATGATAGATTTTAAAATTTCAATGGTTCCAGAAAACACAAAAAAAATCCATTATGATTATCAAACTTTACATTTACTGTCACTCAAAATTGATAATATGTTATGGTCACTTTACATAAACATGCATTGTATTGGTATAGACAATGGCATCTTGTGTTCTAAATTCTTTTTAACAATAATAATAATGTATGTATTTATCTTTTGAATTCATACAACAAGGCAAAAAAGCTTTAAAATACCCCTACTGATTTTTAATAACGTTTCTGTCGTCTAACACCTGGCATAATTTAACCCATGGAAGTTTCTAGTTTTTGTGCACGTACGTCAAAATAATTGAATAGAAATCAAAACAAAGAATTTGATTCCATGTAGACCTGATTCTTTTGAAATAAATTAAATGATTTCTATTGTTCATGTACAGTTTATTTTTTTTATTATTATTTTTTATCCTCTGGCAACTTCCGAAAAACAAGTACATTACTTAATGCATGGCATACACGATATGATCACGGAATAGAGTTTTTATCTTACAAATGCCTGCCAATCATTTTATCAAAGTTTCACCTAATTTTTATCCTTAGAACTGTCGAGTCACAGAAGGCAATAAATAACTGTAACAATAAATCAGACCTGGAGATTTGGACAGAATTTCTGTCCACAGATAACGTAACATAATGATGTATGTCAGGCTTTTTCATTATAGCAAGTTAATTGATTTCCTTTACTCAGGAGAAATAATCACGTGGTGGCCTGTTGACAGGTGATTATAAGTGAGTGACGCCCATCTACTGATTTAAAACTTGTTTTCCAGATAAACAATTAGCAATTTGAGTTTTGTCTGCACAATGGTAAGTTCGCAAAATTTCACAATGATTTATGTGATTGAAAGATTTATTTAAAAAAAAGAATAAAGCTTTATTTTGGTCAGGTAATCATGTATATACGATGTATAACACGAAGTAATTCATGAAATTTTTAATCTTTTCAGGCACTATACTTGGTATTTGCAGCAGTGCTTGAATTCGCTTTTGCAGAACATTTACTAGGTAAGAAAATACCTTGCAAGTAAAAAGTCCTATAGTATATTAAAAGGAATTCTTTTATGAATCCTGCTTCAGACATAATATCAGAAATTTATTTTTTATTTAATTAGTTCAAACAAGGAATGTATTTTTACGAAGCCATATTCTTTTTTACATTTCAGAATTTGCCTCCTTAAGATTATGCGGAGATACCTCGGACATAATTCCGGATCCAACAGACTGTGGATATTTTTTTGATTGCACGAATTATTATGCAGTTCGTCAGCGCTGCGCACCGGGGACTTTTTTTAATGACCTTACAAAGAAGTGTGATTTTCCAGAAAATGTCCCTCGATGCGAAAAACAATTGTACGGAGAATTCAAGAATAATTACAACATGGATGGCGTTGCAGACCCAAATGAAATCATAGTTGTTAACCCAGGTAATCAAGATGATACAGAAGTCAAGAGTATACCTTCCGAAGCAAAGCAGGCATCAAATTCTGCAGTTCAAAGTGATAAAAAGGATATAGTTATCGGAAATAATACGACAAATGGAAATCATGACCCGTTTTGTTTTGGGAAAAAAGTTGGAAATTACCCAGACCCCAATAACTGTGATTTCTTTTATCAGTGTAGCTTAATATTAAGTCGAAGACAAAAGTGCGCTCCTGGGACTGTATTCAATCCAAAGAAAGACAGATGCGACTTTCCATCGCAAGTTAAAGGATGTGAAAATTCCTTTACGAGAAAAAGATATGGCTCAGTTGAACAAACACATGTAAAGAAAGAAATTTCTGGCACCGATCTAAAGAAAGCACCAGACTTTATTTTGCAGAAATTTCAACGTCCTTCGATTCCATCAGCTACAACTACTTCGAGCAAAAGATTTGAAAGTTCTACCATTACTGCAATAAAGCAAGACACTTCCAGTAAACAGTTAAGTTTAACAAACACGAAATCAGATGAATCTCTGAAGAAGACTTCAGTGCAAACCACTGACAAGAAGACAATAAAGCCATCGATTAAAGATGCTGTGGTTTATGTCAAGAAAGAGGGTGAGAAGCCAAATGAGAAAGACTTGATTTTTAAACAAAGGACCGTAGATACAAAACTTTTCAGAACAGGGAATAGAAATCTGAATATGCGTTTTTCTCTTCGAGACCTTATTAGAAATGGCGGGAAGAATCAGCCTGCTGCTAAAGAAGCTGTGACAACAACGGCCCAACCAACATCAACAAGACATGTTCGATCAACTACCACAGTGTTATTGCCTGTGGTTCCTACTAAAGCTTCTTATAAATCAATGCTGGCAAACGATTCTGTGTCTTATTCAGAGGAAAATCAGTCAAAAGTTCAAAACACACGTGTTAATGGTGAAGTAGTGAAATCATACCCACAAACATTTGATGAGATTAGAAGCAAAGTACAAAGTTCTTTGAACAAAGTTGTTGTCTCTGAATATATACAAATGGTACCTACAAAATCTGAACAAATGGGTGATTCTGTTCACTCCGCGTCAGGCGCAAGATACTCACAAAGAACAACAGCAGTAAACGCACAAACGACGACACCATCACCTAAAACAGTTGACGAGGTCCTTGAAAAGGTTGGTCACACTGTCAAACAGGCTACAGTCGAAGGAGTACTAAGTGCCGCTCCTTCCCTTCCTTTGGATACCTATTCAGTGCATGTTGATAAAGAAGGTCAAGCCAGGAAGTTTCCAGTTATAGAAACGGGAGATATCAACGGTAATTTTGGATCTCAAAAGGGGATTCTTAGCAGTATTGGTAGTACTCTTAGAGGGAAAACAGTAGACAAAAATTTGAGGGATTCTATTGAAGCCAAATTGAAAGCTTTAATGTATCTGACAACTTTCATTAAATCAGAGAGACTCAATGAGATATTTAGAGAAACATTACGAAAGAGTAAGCTGATGGATAAATTTGCAAAGAAGACTACAAATGGTTCCAAAGTGATGGCTAAAACTGGCACTAAACGGAGAGGGAACGTGCATTATCCACGGCTTATTATCGTGACTAGTATGGGGTCTGGAGATTCCAATAAAAAACTTTTAGAACAGTTTGAGGTCGGTTTGCCTCCAAAACAACGAAATTGAATTATGCAATTTTTTTATGTGTTGTAAAGATTTATTAGATTAGTGTATAATTTATTAGCGACTAGTCATAGAAAATTGTGTAAGATTGACCATGATGGATATTTTACATGACGAATGCTTGTAGTTAGTGCTTAGTTGTAAAGTTCGATCAGTATTTTCATTTAGTAAGAAATCCGCTATTTATGGCATAACAGGGTATTATTATCGTTGACTGTAATTGTTTTCAAATGTTTGTAGTAAAAAATAAATTATGATACATTTAATGTTTGTTCTTTAGACAATGTATCTTCTTATCCTTAGAAATACAAAAATATCAAAAATATTTCTGCTTCATTAAACCACATAAATAGCTTTTGATATTAACTAACATATAATATTTAAATTCAATTTCATTATATATATATATATATATATATATATATATATATATATATATATATATATATATATATATATATATATTATATTTATATATTTATATTTATATATATATATATATATATGGAGAGAGAGAGAGAGACATTATTTTATTTTTTCTATTTATCTATTATTTATTTTATATATAAATTTTTGTCTACTGTTTTCCCTCTAAGAGTACTACCAATACTGCTAAGAATCCCCTTTTGAGATCCGAAAGTATTAAAACCTATGTATTTATAACATTTTTCTTTATTTGGAGAGATACTTGATTAAGATACATAAACTAAAATAGCCTTGGAGAAAATTTTGCGGTTGCTGACGATTTTGCCAGAAAATTTATTTAGGTTTTTGTGACCTCTCTCCTTGTTAAAAGAAGTATTTCAAAATGAACAAAGCAATAATTATTCATATGACAAAGTTAAACAGATGAAAATTTATTTTATTACGTAATTTGGTCAAAATTTAGTATGGAAAGAAATTAATTAAAGACCAAGATAAATAAAACAATTGAAAAAAAAAACAATTTAACGAATCTTATATTCATTAAAATCAGGCGGATGAAATTTGATTTACATAAATCAGATATCATTTAGGAAGGTATATATAAACTAAACAACAATAGTCTTTTATTTACTCTACTTAACACAGGTAAATTACAACACAATCCAGAGATATATACACATGATGTTATGATGAGAGAAAATTAAAACAATCCGTTCATTGTACATGTATGACCTTGAATTAATTACGGAAGTTTTGGCAAAAATATGTGCAAGAACATATGAGTTATCTTAGAAACCAGATCAATACAAACTTTATACAGTCAAAGACTGGAAACTAAATATCCTTCAGAAATATTAATTTATTTATAAGGATACTTGATCATTATACACCCCTGCTTCCTCCTATGTCCAAGAAAAAGAATTTACAGAAAACTTTAAAAAAAATTACAGATAGTTTTGGACTTTGGACACTCTTCCAGTTAAAATCATCTGACAGGGCTATTTTTTGCATGAACTGCTTTGTACTCTTCATATTGATGACTTACTAGTCATGATAAAAAATTCATGTCTATAGACTCATTTTCACGAAGTTACTGCCTTAGACTTTGAAAATGTCTAATTATTACTGTTTTCCGGATTTTTTTTTGTAGTGCATGTAGATAATTAGCCGATTTTTGATTTGACCGATTATATTGAGCACTTGCAATTAAGGTTTGCGTTTAACTATTTTGGTTGAGCTATAAGGTGACCAGCTGATTTGACGATACTTTATGCTCCCGTAATCGAAGATTCGGGGACATACAGTTTTTGGTTTGCCCGTCTCTCTGTATGCTTGTCTGTTTATCTGTTAAATTGTCTGTCTGCAAGAAATGTGGATTGTGCTAGGGCTTCATTTTTCGCGTGTATTTCTTGTGACACGATCTTTCTTTGGATACCAACAATTTTGAACTCTTGACCTTGGAATTTGACCTATATTTGAACAACTTAAATCTTGAGCTTGAGCTGCATTACGGAGGCATCAGTGTTTCACTAACACATCTTGTTCCTGATATTCTAGAAGGTAATAAGCTGATTTTTCTTGTGTTTATCTTTATAATAATCACTTGCAAATCAATTAAATTTCACTTTCATGTATACTGACCTTCTGGTACTTTCTCCACAGTTACCTTCGTTGGACTTCAAAGTTGTCCCTGATAAAAACTTAATTTTTTCTACAGACATTGAATATTGAAAATAATAAATAAAAGCATTGGTATTGTTTTTATCATATCATAAAAAGTATGTCGAATGATTGGTGTTACAAAAATTACAAGTCATCTAAAATTCATTAACAGTGTTGCAGTGCACGAAAAATTGTGTTATCGAAATATCGTAAATCATTTAGACCTGGTAAGAAAAGGAGGTATAATTCGCTGATTTTAAGTTAATCAAATCTTGATAAGGTGACCTGACCTGAATCAGCCGCGTTACCACCTTTATTCATCTTGATTGGCCAGGTATCGGGTCCTTATTTCACAATGTTGACCTCATAAGAGGTAATCAATTGTTTTATTAAACCGATATAACATGTACCAAATTGCAGCCTTATTTCTAAAGCCTACAAAAATTGTTTATTATTGATCGGGATCGGTTTTCGCTAGTGAAGTTACTTACATTTTCGCAATCGGCAACCCTCGGTTGACTCCGCTACGCTCCATACAAACCTCGGATATGATTGGTGGAGGAATATGCGTCAAATCGATACATTTTTCCGCCGAAAATTGCCTTGTAACTCATTTCATATTTCGCTCTGCATAAAGTTCGTCAATAGTTTTTTTGACTTGTCTATTTCTTCCTTGTATATTGGTTTTGATTACAACCTTATTTTAGTAGACCTTGAAAGCAAAAACTTAGTGTTGGGCGTGCCACAAAGTAACTCAGATTTCAAAGGTATAACATTTTGATGAATTTCAAATAAGATCACATGACTGTATCAGCAAAATGGTAGAACAGCGTTTACGTCCGAGGTTAGTGTGCGAGGTACGAGCCACCGAGTGTACATTTTCGCATGTAAGCTTAACTCTTGATACTTGTTTGTAAGTTTTTGCACCGCTTAGTTATTAATAACGTTCGTGACTTTTGTTGTAATTTTTCACAATCACTTTTCTCGAGTATTAAGAAAATCTAGTGAAGATTTTTACTGTATTCTGCATTCCTTGAATTTGACATTGTAACGAAATTTTCAATGAATAAACGATAACTTTTAGTTTATGACGTATCATAAACTTTTGTATTTACATTCCACATTTATTTAAGAAATAAGGTATCATTTTTAAACATCTATCGGGATATAAATACGGGTTGGTCACGAGATCAAATTCCATAAAGCCCGAAGGGCTTTATGGTAAATTTGATCTCGTACCAACCCGTATTTATATCCCGATAGATGTTTTAAAATGATACCTTATTACTTATATTTACATTTGTGACTTATTCATATTATATGTTAGTCTGATTATAACATTTAACGCATGAAATGTTTTATTTTTTCAAAATCAACGGCACGAATTTGATCTATTGATTGTGCGTCGACCCTTTATGACGTCACAGAGAAATTACGTCGAACGTTTATGACGCGAGGAACCCGTGTTTATTACGGATATAGATACGCGTTGCTTTTAATAGTGTTATATAAAAGAAAACAATTGCAAATGTAAATATTATAAATTGTGTGGAAAGCGACGGCATTCAAAACACCATAACAAAGTTTGGAGGTCAAAAGGTTAAAGTATGCATTTTTATTTTGACGTCACAAACGTTGAACGCCTTGCAAGTGCATGACTTACTGAATTCAACAATCATATACCCCTACCACTTTCTCTCACCTCTAAAAATATTAACACGCAAGGATATTCCAATTCAAACAACAATTCAAATATTTAACACCTAGAAACTAATGAAACTTATAGAACTGGTATATGTTTGATGCTTGAAAGCACTGAAAAATTAGAGGATGGCATGCTATATTCTCCTAGATCTATTGACAACTAATAATTGAAATCCATTAATCCAAAATTTGTAATTTGCTTAATTAATTTTAGTTTTGAGAAGATACCCCTAACTTGAGGAAATTTAGTCGAAAGATTCTCCAGAGTTGATGAAATTCTGACTCATGTAACTGACAAAATTTGACCACATTAACCGTAATTTTCAAATATCAATCCATGCAGTAAAACATATCTGCAATTATAATAAAGAAAAATGCACAAAATAACGTCATCCAAAAAACAAGAGGAAATTTTGCAATATGGACTTGTTAAGAAGTTGATTAAAACCACAATCCATAGTTCGTGTAAATGAGTGTCTCCCTTGTGATGTATGTCCAGGAAGAAGAGATAATTATTAAGTGCATGTAAAGGTGTACATGGGCTACCTGTCGCAGAAGAATCCAGTAAAACATGAAGAGGTCGCTGTAATCATGCAAATTGTTTTTCTAATTGTGCTTGCATTATAAGAACTGTTTTTTCTTTTTTACTGCAATTTAAAAAAAACATATCTTGGAGAATGCATGTTGCCATGAAGTAATCGGCTTTCCAAAGTTTAGTTCGGAATATATGAAACGTAGAGAAATATCTGAAGCCATGCGAATTTTATCTGCAAATTGTTTGGGCGTAGGGGAATGGGGTGTGTGTGTCAAAGAATACTATATTCTAAATTTACTCAAAAAATTACTCTGAGAATCAACATTTATTATTTTCAACAAAGCGCAAGAGTTATTATATACCACAGTGTTCTTTTCAGCACACTCTAAATATAATTGCAGCATTGACTTTTAGAACCAGGTACTCCAATTTAGTTCCCCATTAACGTAATTGTGTAAACACCATTTACATAGAAACCATATTGTTAGATGAATACATATACTGAATAAAATATAAATATTCATTTAATGTGCAAAGATCATTAGATTTAATATGTCAGAGTCAATAAATTCGATCAAATTATTTGACCCAACCCGATACAGTAGACCTAGTTTTCCTTATGAAGTAAGTCATTTGATTATCCATATAATAATTATGAATAAGTCCCTTATTGTGAATGATACAGCTGACTCATCTTACGTTATATATCCATTCATTTTCAAACTTATGAATGAATTGCAAAATTGCATTGCTGTTAATGGTTTATAAGATTTATTCAACAATCATATACTCATATTTTTAATATGTACATATACCAAATGGTTAGTTGATATTCCGATCAGATGTTCGTTTCGGCACGAATGTCCCGTTTGCCGACACGTTAAGATACATTTCAAATTC